CCCCCCCCCCCCCCTGCCGCTCCCCGCCAGGGAGGTGGGAGCGACGGCGGGGGCGCTGCTGGGTGGTGCTGGCCGCTCTCGGAGGGACAAGCCCAGCCACATTTCAGTCACCGGCTCATCACCCCCTCCCAGGCCCACCTTGACCATGAGCCAGGCTTCTCCTGGAGAAGGACGTTGCTGTGCCATTTGTTTGCCCTCGCCTACCCCAGCTCGGGGCCTTTGTGGCCCATTAGATACTGCTGCCCGCTGGCTTTGTGACCAGCAAGAAGATGGGCTGGTGGCCAGAGGGGTCTGAGATGTCTTAGGACTCATCCTGCCCTGCAGACAGTTGGGTGGAAAGGAGCCGCGCTGGAGCCGGGGGCTGGAGGCCGGGAGGTTTGCTTCCCCAGGTCACGGTCCTTGCCTATAGAAAATCCACGCACGGAGCAGGTAACGCGCATTTGGTGAAGAGCTTTCTGAGATCACCAGGATGGAGGAGTCTACGTGAATGGCAAGAGGCTGTGGTAAGACGATAGCCACACCTAGCAGGTCCTCTGTCTTCCAGGTGATCAGCCCCGGCACTCACATTCCGTGTGCCGCGCAGACACGTGCCGTCCCGGAGGCTCACTGTAGCAGCTGAGCTGTGTAGACCGTTGCGTACAGGTATTACAACGGGCTCTGGCTTCCAGAACACTGGTTCTTCTTGCAGTGCCAGCAGTGAAGGAAATGTTCGAGTTTCTGCTGCCCGGCAGAGAGCACTCTCCGTGTCTTCAAACGCGCCTGCCGTGCTCCGTCTCGTGGAATACAACACGACTACCTGCACGACGTGCTGTGAGGGAAGGCAGGGCGTCATCACCAGCGGGCAGGCAGCTGCACCTGCTAGAAAGAAAGAGAAGCAGCAAGAGCTGGTGCTGGAAGGGTGAATTTCTGCGATTTGGGCTAAAGGGGTGGTCTTTGTAGTACCTCCTTCTGTGGAAAGTTGGAAATAGATTTAATGTATGGTGAGTACCAACAGATATATATATATGGTAAGTGTCCAACAGATTTGTTAAAGACTGGGTAATACAGGTAATTACTCAGTTTTCAGAAGACTGACAATTTTGATGATAGCAAAATGGAAAAAGATTGTTTTTAAATAGTGACAGTTATCAGGAGAAGATTCTGAGGATTTCTTTCGCCAGTCTGCCTGTGCACGTTCCCTGTTTTGCAGCCCTCCTGTGACCGCTGTGACGCACCGCTGTGTCTCGTTTCTGTACGCGTGTAATCCTCTGCTGCAATAAAGGTATTGCCCGTAATTACGAGGGGAAATCCTTAGTTTCTGTTGAATTCAGTGACACAGCTTCTGTGGGGAGTGAAGAAGCCAAGCGCTTGGCCCTAGGCAGCTGCAGACCTCAGAGGAGGTCAGGCCACCGGTTCAGCCTTCTGCCGTGTCCTCTGGGTGCCACCGCGGTGGTGGTATTTATGGCGTGGACGCTTTCCCCGTAGGAACTGGACCAAATCCACAGACCTATCCTTTCGCTTGTGAGTTGCTGCCATCAGGGAATGCCGGGAATGCCGGCTGCCAGCTGGGCAGGGCGTGCGG